CTCTCACTAAATGAGATCTTAGTGGAGGCAAGAACTGTATTTTACTTATCTTTGGATCTTCAGTATTCACTGAGCACATGGTAGTTGCTCAACTTAATATTTATTCAGTTGAATTAATAGCAACAACAATAGTATTTATTCAACAAATATTGAATCACACTCTGCTAGGCAAAGAGGGCAAAAAGACAGTGTCCCTACTCTCAGGAACATATGATCCATTGCAAAGACAGACCTGGAAATAATTATAATATAATATGACAGTTTCTAGAATGGAAATAGCTATAAATCATAGCTCCGTAATGAAAAAAAAATTTAAGTATTGTAGGGAGATCCTAGACTAATGTCACAGAAGTGAGAAGGAATTTGCCAAATGATCAAGTTTAAAAGGGCATTCCCCACAGGAAATCCCTATTCAAAAGCTCAGAGGTATGAGAGGTGCAAGAAGAATTGCTGGAGCATAAATTTGAAGGTTGAGTCATAAAGTTGTCCCTTCCCTGAATGTGATGGACCAGATACATGGAGAGCCTTCTTCCACAGAAAGAAGTTAGATTTTGTCTTGTAGATGCTAGAAAACCATTAATTTAACTACTGTGTTTCCCTGAAAATAAGACAGGGTCATCTTATATTTATTTTTCCTCAAGAAGACACCCTAGGGCTTATAGTTAAGTCGTCTTCTTCTGGAACATCATCTTAACTCTCCAAACCCTGAATTCCATCCTGAATTTCTTGGAACTGTATTTCCTTTAGAACCATTGGCCTAAATCTCTCATGTCTAGCAATAGAGCTCTCAAGGAGCAGATGAGAAGGCTGCTCAGCTTCTTTACCACTCTGTGTCAAAATGCATGGGTTGTGCAGATTCGCTGCATAGCCATGCCCATCATTATGTCTTATTTTTGGTGTAGGGCTTATTGCACAAATGCTTAGAAATCCTGCTAGGGCTTATTTTATGGATAGGTCTTATTGTCGGGGAAACACGATATTAAAACTAGTTTTTCAAATTATACTGTGTGCCAGGTACCTATAATCCTAATACAGAATTGATATTTTCCCATTTCATAATTGAGAAACTGAGGCTCAGAGACATTAATTAACTTGCCCAGGTTTTCACAGCTGCTGAGTGGAAGAACTAGAATTCAAAATTAGGTCAGTTGAGTCCACAACTCTTGTCTTCTTTTAAAGCTATATTTTATTTTACACAGCACATCCAACAGGGAAGAAGCTAAATATTTTAACTTTTAATTTTTTTTAACCTCACATCATTCTCAACTATAGCAAATTTAAAATTTTTATGTAACTGTCTTTTGACTTACTGAAATGCCCTTTTCCCTTTAGTCACCATTGAATGTTGTGAGCCAATCAGGCATGGTTTGTATACTCTGAAGGAGAAAAATATGAAGTACTACTTCCTTTTTAAGCCATTTAGATCTGAGTCTTCAATATGCAAAAAGAATACTCCAAGTAGTAATTATTAAAATTTGATAAGAAAATCTAATATTAATCTTGCTATTCTATTTAATTAATATAAATGTAATTTACTATTTAAATGATTTCTACCTCATATCCTGATGTGCTTGGTTAGCTTGAAGTACTTGAGACATTATCTCATTAACTCTGCAATATCTGGCTAGTCTGGGATGAGATTTTTCCTTATTTTAATGGCCATTAAGATATGGTACGTTCTGGAGGTGGATCATGGTAATGGTTATATAACAGTGAGAATGTATTTAGTGTCACTGAGCTGTGCACTGAAAATGGTAAGTTTTATGTATATATATTATGTCACAATTTTTAAAAAGATGTGAAACAGAAATTCAAAGTAGCCTGAGATCTCTTATCAAAGCAGTTATCAATCAAATATTCTTGAGAGCCTTTTGTTAAGTAAGGTGTACAGGAACACCTTAGCATCATAGGCTAATCAAATGAAATGTTCTTAATACTAAGCTGTTTGAAAAGAAAAAGAATCAGATTTATCTGAATTCAGGGAGAAAGAAGAAAACATAGTAATGACCTAATATTATGGTGCAGCTATCCTCAGGATGGATGTGATGATGAAAATGCCTTTCAGACTTGACTGCTGTTGGTCCCTGGCTTGTTTCTTGTTCAAAAGCACAGCTAAGGGATTAAGTGGGCTATCTAAATGTCACCTCAACAGTTAGAATGTGCATGGTAGCAGCTCCAACTTGTAGCTGAGGCTCAGACTTTTAGCTTCCTTATCCCCACTAGTATCATGGGAAATTAAATTGTCATTCATTAGCTTCACAAAAATTAAAAGATTGTGCTGGTGGAGACATAGGAAACATTGTTGGTGAGTGTGAATTGCATAACTTTCTGGAAAGTCATCTGGTAATAACTGATAGAAATTTTAAATACACATACTTTTTGGCCTAATAATCCCACTGGGTTGCCACTATCATGTAGAGACATTGGAATAAGTTGCAAGTTGTGTTGTTTCTAGTAGCAAAAAAGTAGAAGCCAGTCAGGAAATGGTTGAACAAATTATGCTCTATCCATCCTAAAGACCAATGTACAGCTATTAAAAGGCGAGATAAATCTCTATGTATTGGCCTAGGCTGTGCCCGGTGGCTGACGCCTGTAATCCTAGCACTCTGGTGGGAGGCTGAGGCTAGTGGATCGCTCAAGGTCAGGAGTTCGAAACCAGCCTGAGCAAGAGTGAGACCCCGTTTATACTATAAATAGAAACAAATTAATTGGCCAACTAATACATATAGAAAAAATTAGCTAGGCATGATGGTGCATGCCTGTAGTCCCACCTACTTGGGAGGCTGAGGCAGCAGGATTGCTTGAGCCCAGGAGTTTGAGGTTGCTGTGAGCTAGGCTGACGCCATGGCACTCACTCTAGCCTGGGCAACAAAGTGAGACTCTGTTTCAAAAAAAAAAACTATATGTATTGGCCTGGAATGATAGCTATGTTATATAATGCATAAAAAAGTTGTAGAGTTAATACTAATATTAGTGTAGTATGGAGTGTGACCTAAAAGAGAAACCCCCATGTGTATTTGAGAATAGCGTGTAGAAGGATTCACGTCAAACTGACAAAATTGATTGTCTCAGGGAGGTATACTTGGAGGTGGGATTGAATTAACTTTCCTTGTAAAACCATGTTGTTTGGTTTATTATAGTATAGTTTTTGTAAAAGTTTTTTAAGTTAAAGGAAAGAAAGGCAAGGGAGAGATAGATGGTGATAAAAATTTTACTAGGGATTACTTTGGGGGAGGGTTGATGACTGGGAATGGGCACAAAAAGCAGCCTTGCTACTGGTTGATCTCTATGTTGAACTGGGTGTATTCACTTTGTAAAACTTCATCTAATTATATGCCTATAATTTGTATAATTTTTTGTCTATATTATATCAATTAAAAGTATAAAAATTGTAGAATAGCAATACAATGGAATGCAATTATATTTTCTTAAAATATTTCAATAAATATTTAATAATATATGAAGTCAGGCAAGAAATAATACAGTCCCATTATTGTAAAATATAATGTACCTATAAACATACAGAATGAAGGCTGGAATAAAAACAATACAACATCGACAGATATTATTTCCAGATGATGGTTGTTTTTGTTTTGGGTTTTTTTGTTGTTTGAAGTAAGAACAGTTTATTGGGTTGGGTCATTTTAGGAAGTCAATAAAATTTGGTGAGTCAAATCAGGAACTTTAAAATATTAAGCAGAAATTAAGAGTGAAGAAGAGGAGAGGAAAAGGCATTTTTTAAAAGAAAGGAAAACAAGCTAACTAGAGAAGTGTGGTAATATCAAGTAATTTTTTTCAACCTCTACTAGGAAAAGACTTTTACTAACTTCAGCTGTCAAACCATGGTATAGTAGTAGAGTCATATTAAAAATACGCTCCTTTATCAAACCTAGTTTGGCTTTTTTACAAGTAAGTCATGCTTGATACCTAAGTTTTGTTGTTTTTAAGTATTTAGTTTTAATGAAATTGTCATTGATATAATAGTTTCAGTTGACCCTAGCAGATGCAACTTAGTAGTAGCTTAAGAAACCTATAATTCTCCTCCCAGTCTTCACTGATTAACGCTGGAAGTTTGCTTTTTTCCACCCTTAGTTGCCACATGGGGACAAACAATACCTCACGAAGTTGTAATGAGAATCAAACGAGAAAATGTAGTATGTGAAAATTTTATAGAATTAAACTCTACCCAATTGAAAAATTACATTATTTTTATTTCATTCGGCCTAAAGTCCTTAGTTGTGGACTGTAGTTATTTCATGATGAAATTTATTTCGCTTAATAGGAATTCAAAAGTTGAAGTTTAAGAAAGAATGGAATTTTTTTAAGTCTAGTTCTGCAAATGTTGCATTTAATGGTTCTCGAGGTGTGGGTTGTGATTGCAATGCGTCATTAGTTTAGACTAAATACTAATATTTAGTGCTTATATATCAAATTGAACTACAAACATTTTTGTTGCTTCTAATTGTTGAACTGACGGGAATTATCAGGCTTTTTTCCCTATTTCAATTATTTTTCCTTAATTCACCATGTTTACCTAAAATAACTAATTCACCCAAATCAGATCACTTCAGGTGTTTCGCAGGGGTTTTGATAAGGCTTGGCTTTTGATTAGCTCCTTAAATTAGTAGTTATCTTCTAGTCGGAGTAAGCATTGGGTTGGGATGGAGAAAACTGCGTGGCACTAGGACCCAGGGGGCTCCCGTGAGCGGATCTTGGGGCCAGATTGCAAATTCGCGGTGACTCAGTCTGGTCGGCTCCTTGCGCTCGGCGGCCGCGGCGGCAGCAGTAGACGTTGGCGGCCGAGCTGCTAGGAGCAGTTCCGCTGGCTTTCACTGTCCGATACTTCCTTCGGGCCACCCCAGGCAGGTCCGAGGCGTCTGGGGAGCGATGGGGTCGTTGTGGCGGGGAGACGGGGTTTGCTCGGCGCGGGAAGCCCTCGGGCCTGTGCACAGGGGAGTAACATTTGCTCCGTCTCTTCCTGTGTCTGGCTTTATTTGCAGCAAACCAAGATGGAGTATGAGTGGAAACCTGACGAGCAAGGACTTCAGCAAATCCTGCAGCTGTTGAAGGAGTCCCAGTCCCCAGACACCACCATCCAGAGAACCGTGCAACAAGTATCCTTTGCGAGGCCTGGCCGCCGCCCGCGCAGCTGGCTCGGCGCTGCGGGCCGCTCCCGGCGGCCGGGGGCTCCCGCCGCCCCTCCCCCTCCTGAGCCCTCCCTCCTTCTCTGTCGGTCGCCCGCGGGGAGGCCCGCCGCCGCAGCCCTGCCCGGCGCCTCGCGCACGCGGCCCTGGTGCCTGGGCCGGGGGCAGCGCCGCGTGGGGCTCACGCCGCCGAGACCGTCGGCTTCCGGCCCGCGGGAGGCAGGGGCCCGGGCCGCCGCCCGAGATCGCGACATGTGCGCGGGCCCGGCGGCCACGTCCCCGCCCGCCGCTGACCTGCTGAGGCGGTGGGGAGAGGCGCGGGCGGGAGCGGCCCGGGCCCACACAATGCGCCCCGCGGGGTGGGGGCGGCGGGCCGAGTGGAGGCGCTGCGAGAGCGCCCGGGCTTGCTGGCCGACTGGCCAGAAATGGGTGGAGCTGGCGCGGGGTTTGAACTGCCGCCGTGTGGGTCTTGAGGTTTTTTCCAGGCCCTTGCCCAAGAAGGGCTGGAGACCTACAGGTGGGGGGAAGGGGTCTCTGTTTGTGCCTCATCCCGGGATTGCTCTTGTTAACACCTGTTGCAAGTCCTCTGGCTTCCAAGTGGGATTTTCTTTTTAAACCTTCGGCTCAAGGCTAATTGCGCAATTAGCTAAGTCTTTACCTGGTGTGCCGATGTAGTTGTCCTTTTGCTACGGTTTTAGAGACAGGGTTAAGAAGCAAAACCTTTTCTATGTATGCTTTTTGTAGTCCCCTAAACCGTAGACAAATGGAGAGCTCTTATTGGATCCAGTAAACAAGTTCACTTACCAGATCATAAGTAATCTTTTCTACCCCTGTTCTTTTAAGCCTAAAGCAGTTAAAAATATTTTTGCAGAAAAGTCTCTTGATTTTTATTGTCAATAAGCTGCAAAATTACTTAATATGGAATTTGGTACGTAAGCTCTTTTCGTCTTTGACCTATTTAAAATACTATAAAGATGAAGTTATTCGCCCAGAGGGTTTCAAAGAAGTACTGCATTTGCTGTAACCTAAAATCCTCAATATATGACAGAATAAATATTCAGTTGTTTTGTTAATATACTGCCTGTTTTAAAAATGAGGGGCTAACAGTTTGGATCTACTAGTACTGAGGAAGGAACAGTAGTTCTTGGAGTGTACCGGGGTTTGTATCTGAAACCCTGTTATGGCTCAGTTTTAATTGTGTTGTCATAGTTCCAGAAATGATAGAAAATTGATATTTAATTAATTGCAGGTATTATATGATACAATTACCTGTTTCATGAATTAGCCAAGCCCAGACTTGCATTGTAATTCTTAAGTAGCACTATATATCATACTTTCTTGTTTTAGTGTATATTTATTAAGTACCTTTTATATGTCCAGTACTGTGCTTGGGCTAGTAGTCAATTTTCAGTTTATGTGCCTGGAGCATAGTGTGTCCTCTGAGTAAGAGCAAATTTTTCTTTTACTGTTAGAGGAAAACAGTATTTTAACTAAAAATATGCACTGCTTTATATTTTCAGAGCACCTAATGATGACTTTGTGCCTCCTAAAGAGAGAATGTAATTATTGTTTTGACTTCTGAATAAATCCGTTATAATAGTATAAGTAGATATAAATCCGTAGATATGAATAGTAAATATAAATCTGTAGATATAATATAAATAGTAGATATAATAGTAGATATAAATAGTAGATATAAATCTGTTATAATAGTATAAAGAGATATAGCTCAAGTTTTAAGAAAGTAAACCTTATCAGGAAATATTTATGAGAAATGTATTGGCATATCAGCATGTTGTTAATCTTGACCTTTCACTAAAGCAAGAATCACCATCTGGGTTTTTCTTGGTTACAGAAAGTAGTTGCACCGTGGAATTTTACTAGAGAGTATATTTTGCTAGTTAATGTACTGACCCCTCAACGTTGAGGGTATTCAAGTATGTGATAAATAGCTAATAAGTGTACCTACACTTTTTTGAGTCTTGGATTTAATCAGAAATTTAAATCTGTTGTATAAAAACATCTTAATCATTTTGTGTAGTAAAACACAGTTGGGAGGTGTGTTAGGGACTGAGAGGGCTTGAAGGATGAGAGATTTAATACAGCATTATGTTGCTTTTGACTGCTAACACCAACGAAATACCTACAAATTTGTGTTACTGGAAATGTCAGATTCTGAAGAAAAAAACAATTATTGTGTATTAATCTCATAATGCTGACTTTATATAACATTTGATATATAGGCTTGTACATAAGTGGCATTTTATCTTAATTTTTTGAATTCCAAAGAACAGATGAGTCTGACAAAAGTACTTTTTTTTTTTTTTAAACTTTAAAAAGCCATTTTATAAAGTTAATTTCCCTAAGTGATTGTCATCTCTTAAAGACTGGTTTTCATTTGTTTGGAATACTTTCATTTTTGTAACTAGTTTATACTTGGATACCTTTCTGGTTACGATGTTTTAAAGTTCTAATAAATCTAAGAATTCTGTTTTGGAAAATTTTTGCTGTATTGAGCTTACTGAAGCTAGATGTTGCATTGAATAAAATTGATAAATTTCAGCTGTAAAGCACCTAAGAGCTTTAACAAGCACTAGTGCATGAGTAGTATGTTAATAGATTTAATAAGAAATCCTTATTCTTCATTTAAAAAAAAATGTAAGACTAGAAATACCACAAAGGGATTCTTGATTTTTATATAAAAAATGCTTAGTTTTTTCCTTAGATTACACAGAGACATTTCCTTAACTACTGTTTGTTGTAGAAACTGGAACAACTCAATCAATATCCAGATTTTAACAACTACTTGATTTTTGTCCTTACAAAACTAAAATCCGAAGGTAAGTAGAGTTTGTGTTTAACTTTTAAAAAGTATCTTTAAGACCTATTAAAATATACTGAGAGTTAATCATTTCAAAGGATTGCATTTTATAGTAAACATACTTTATCGATGTGGGATGAGCAGAATTATTAATACTCAAAGCATTTACATGCTTAATAAGTATTCAGTTAATTGGGTGTTTATATAACAGATTCCCTCATCCTTTACAAATGAAAATGTGTGGAAAGTCTACTTTGTTTTGCTTCAGTGCTTTTACATGAATGTTGATTTATTTCTTTTAATATACAGCCTGAGCAAGAGCAAGACCTTGTCTCTACAAAAAATTAAAGAATTAGCCAGGTGTAGTGGCACGAGCCTATAGTCCCAGCTACTCAGGAGGCTGAGGCAGGAAGATTGCTTGAGCCTAGGAGTTTGTGGTTGCAGTGAGCTATGACGCCACTGCACTCTATATATACAAAGGTGACAGATTGAAACTATCTCAAAAAAAATTTAACTGAATATATATGTGATCATTGTAGAAAAAAATGGAAAGGTCATATAACTGAAATGAAAAATCACTTAGCCCATCATCCAGAGATTATTATGTTGATCTCTTTAATTATATCCTTCTGTACTCCTTTTATATGGCTATGTATAATGTATACTATTTTTAAATTATTTAGCAAAAAATGGTATTTTACTCAAAGGTAAACTTTCGTAACTTTTCAAAAATTTCTAACAGTGTACATAAAACTTTTTCATTAAGTCTTCTAAGCAATTTTAAAATTAAATCACTTCTATGACAGTTTGAAACCTGAATAGTGTGATTTTTTAAATGACATGGTCATTTGAATGTTCTAATAACATGTAAAGTCTCACCAGATTTTATTTCACAAGTATTTATTGCACACCACCTGTTTGCCAGGCAGTTTGCAGGCTCAGGGGAGATAAAAATGAGCAAAACAAAAATCTGTGCCCTCAAGGAGCTTACATTGTAGTGAGAGGTGTTCTTTATAGCATTATTTGAGTATTCCCTTCCTGAAACATTGCAGACACGTAGAAGACAAATATTTATTGAATAACTGACTGGCCTCTAAGTAAAAGCACCATACCCTATTCAGTGATTAGTATTTTAGATGCCATAGTGCAGTTAATAAAAACACTGCACTTGGAATTGGGAAATAACAGGTTTTAGACTCTGAGTTGGAGTCATTTAAACTCTCTTCTTTCAGCTATGCCATCGGTAAGGTTTCCTTCAGCTCCAGACTCTAGCAGGTTAATGGTCTTAATGTATAGTAAAATCTCACTAATCTTGTGTTCAGATTTTGATAATTCATACAGATAGTGATTTCTTTCGCATTGTTTTCAAATGATTTTGTAGTTAATGGGGTTAATTTATGATTAGGGGACATAATAGAAATTTTAAAACTCCAAATCTAGATTTTTAAGAAACTAGGAATTCTTTCAGCCTGTCTTTAAATTCAGCAATTAGTATTCCTAGTTTGAAAAGTATATTTATGATATATTGTTTCTTTTTTTTTTTTTAATAAAGATCTTAAAAGCATAATATATTGTTTCTTAATACTGAAATTTTTCTTACAGTTTGTGATCAGGCTGCTATTTTCTTTTTAAAGAACTAATATATTTACTAAATGAATTTTTCTAGTCTGTAATTATTTAAGTTGAAAATTTTATTTTTACTGAGCAGTCTACTCTCTGTTTTCACCCCTACATTCCAAATATTAAGGTTGCTAATAAATCATACTCATTATTAAATCTTTGTTGGGATATAAGGGTACTTCAAAAGTTCTTTTTTAAAAAACTTAAATAGCAGCAGTAGAATTTGGAAGCCCCTACCTCCACAAAAACCGATTGCAAAACCATTAAATATTGGGAAAGATTTTATTCAGGTTTTTTTGACCCTAAAATGTATTTCTTCTGTTCATTGGGTGCAGTTTCTCAAAAGACAGGAGTTTTACATTTGTGTAACAGTTCATATTTCTTCTTGTGTTTACTCATTTCCCCCTCCCCAGGAAGATGGGAACATAGTTGGCCATATGCCATATCTAGTTTCTCTGTTTAAAAAAAAAAAAAAACTCTGCATCATGACATCTTAGAGAAGGACCATAAGTAACATCGTTAATTGAAGATGTTTATTTAGAAAGATTTTTTTAAGAGACAGGGACTTGGTCTGTAACTCCGGCTGGAGTGTGGTAACATGATCATAGCTCACTGCAACCTCGAACTCCTTGGGCTCCAGCAATCTCCCACCTCGGCCTCCCACGTTACCTGAGACTACAGGCACAAGCCACCACATCCAGCTAATTTTATTTTTTGTAGAGACGGGGTCTTGCTGTGTTGTCCAGGCTGGTCTTAACTCCTAGCCTCAAGCTATCCTCCTGCCTCAACTTCCCAAAGCACTGGGATTATTTAAGTTTTGGATCCAGAAGGGACGTCAGAGATCAGCTGCTCTAAAATTCCCTCATTTTGCAGATGAGCAAATCGAGGGCCTAATGAAGGAAAATCTTAATTTTTTTTTTTTTAAAAAGAAAAGTGGTCATTGACTTTTAAAAAAATGGATTTTAAGAGGATATATACTTTGAAACTATTTGGCCAGACACGGTGGTTCACGCCTGTAATCCTAGCACTCTGGGAGGCCGAGGCTGGAGGATCTCTCAAAGTCAGGGGTTCGAGACCAGCCTGAGCAAGAGGGAGACCCCGTTTCTACTAAAAATAGAAAAATTAATTAGACAATTAAAAATATATAGAGAGAAAATTAGCCAGGCATGGTGCTGCATGCCTATGTTCTCAGCTACACGGGAGGCTGAGGCAGAAGGATTGCTTGAGCCCAACAGTTTGGGGTTGCTGTGAGCTAGGCTGACACCATGGAACTCTAGGCAGGCAATAGAATAACAGAGTGAGACTAAAAAAAAAACGATTTCACCTCATGTTATGGTTTATTAAAACTTATGATTTTTGTAAAATTATTAAATTTTACAAATTATTAAATTATGTTAAATTATTAAAACTCATAATTTTTGTAAAAACAACATACTATGTTAGAAATAATGCAATTTAAAATGAGTACATGGCTGAATTATTAGCTAACTTAAGCTTGAGGAAGTTAAATATTCGACTTAATTTATTTCATGGCAGTTTTAAACTTTTAAGAGGATTTATTTATTTATTTAGCGTATTAGGGAGTACAAGTGTTAAGGTTACATACATTGCCCATGTCCCCCTCCCAAGGATTTAGAAGTAGGCTTTGTTTTAAGTTACTTGTTGGAATGGATTATAATTGAAAATGGAAAAACATTTTTAAATAGTAACATAAAAGAGTCTTATTGCTATGATGACCTGAATGGGGTGTATGTGCAGAGAAACTTTGTGGTTTTTTTGCCTCTACATGTGCTTTTTACCCTTGAAGGTTTCAATGCCATTCCATTCAGACTTTGGGAACATAGTATTAAGTAGAACAAACTCCAGGTATTTTATTTTTAATAAGGTAGGTAAAACCGTAGTGTTTCAGTAGCATATTCTGTTTGGCACTGCAGGTCTTCTTGTCTTAAAGCCCTTTGAGAGGAGTAGTTTGAAGTGTATGCTCTGAAGCCAGACTCCCAAGGTTTTGGCTTCCCCACTTGGTAGCCTTGTGGGACTTTGGCAAAGGCCTCAGTTTCTTCACCTGTGAGGTTAATAATATCTGTATCGTGAGGTTGTAAGGATTAAATGCAGTGCTACTTGGAAAGCACTTATCAGTGTTTTAATTCATAATAAGCATTCAGAAAATGTTCAACTATTGCTGATATTGTTGGTGGTGATGCCAATTGGTTAAACATCAGTGATAGTATTTCTTTTTGAAAATTTAGCACCATCTATGGATTAAACTTTAAGATTCTATTTTTAAATGTTTTTGCAGATTTTATGCTTTACTTTTTTTTTTTTCTTTCCTAGGGAGACAGTGTCTTTGCTCTGTCACCCAGGCTTGGAAGTACAGTGGTGTAATCATAGCTCACTGCAGGCTCAAACTCCTGACTTCAAATGATCCTCCTGCCTCAGCCTCCCAGAGTGCTGGGATGACAGGTGTAAACCATCATGCCAGGACTGATGCCTTACTATTTTTAAGCTCTAGGGCAAATGAAAAATAAGTTAATGACAATTATATTTATGTGAAAATGATCCCATATATTTTTTCCACTTACGTTTTTATTAGGATATTTTTAGTAACTAATACTTTCAGACCTATAAGGATGTTTATTACATAACGTTAAAGCTTGCATACAGTGGCCATCTGTAAACTAATTCTTAAATCAGTGCTTCTCAACCAGGGGACGTTTTGCCCCCTCCCCCCCAGGAGACATTTTTGGTTGTCATAACTTAGAGGGGTTCTGTGGGCATGTACAACTAATAATGCTGGTAAACATCTTACAACACACGAGATAGCAACTCACAACAAAGAATTGTCAATATGTCAAACTGTTGTCAAAATGTCAGTAGTGCCAAAGTTGATTGGAAATCGAATCTTTGCAGTAAAAAAAAAAAGAAAAAAATTTAAATAAAGTATATAATTTTTATTAAAAAAAAAAAAGAAAACAAAGTTGAGAAACCCTGAAATCAGGAGTTAATCCTTTGGTATTTGGTTATGGTTTTTTTAACTGGTTATAGTAAAATAAATTTGAATGTGACAATCAACTTTTTTTTCTTTTTTTGTTTGAAATGGAGTCTTGCTATTGCCCGGGTTGGTCTCGAACTCCTGGGCTCAAGTGATCTGGAGTAGGCCTCCCAGAGTGCTAGGATTACAGACATGAGCCACCACACCCTGCCTCCACAATCAATTTTTGAATATAAATACTTTAAAGTTATTGTTCTGGGCACATTTTGAAATGAAATCTTTAAAATTCAGTGCTGCTACTGCTGTTTTATTACAGATGAACCTACAAGATCATTGAGTGGTCTCATCTTGAAGAATAACGTGAAAGCACATTTTCAGAACTTCCCAAATGGTGTAACAGACTTTATTAAAAGTGAATGTTTAAATAATATTGGTGACTCCTCTCCTCTGATTAGAGCCACGGTTGGTAAGTTATATTGCAACAATTTTGTTTGTTCTGTTTCTAACTGTATCATCTTTAGAGATGACAGAACATTTCCATAGAATTTTTGTTAGCCATTTAACGTTAAATTGTGATGAGGGAAATTATTATTGCATTTAAATGCTTTTGACATGATGTTAATTACTCTTACTCAGTTAAATGTTAAAACTCTTACTCAGTGAGACCAGTGATGAGGATTACTGGTCTCAGTGGATAAGAGAGCTTTATCACACTTGGCTTAATCAAAGTTGGTTACAATGGGACATTAGCAAGTGATAATAATTTAGGACCATTATGTTTTCTTTGAGTATGCAGATTGGAGTTTCTCATAGTCTGTCTACCTTACAAAATATATGGGGCACAATTTCTCTTTTCATTTTTACATGTAATGAAAAGTTTTCTGATTTTTGAAAACAATGTAAGTGTAGGATTCTAAATTTTTATTTTCCCACTTGTTTTTTATTATAATATTTGCCTTGTCCATACCTAATTCAGTAGCAAGTTTTTTAGTCTTCAGAATGTTCAACTTGTTTAGGGAAAGAACTTTCTGTCAGCTTATGTAATACTAGATTAAAATACTTAATTACAGTAACTGCTATAAATTGACTTGAGAGCACACACAACTGGCTATTGGTAAGCACACACATCAACCAGTGGAAGAAGAAATAGGCAGGTATACTCTCTTGAGTAACCTACTAATGGGCAGCCGTTCAGTATGTCATGGACTTCAGCGGTTAAATTTTACAAAGACTTGGAAAGCATCTCTGAATTTACCAGGTTGGTTAAATGGAAGCCAGTTAAAGGAGTGAAACACTTTCATCAAGAATTCCTTAGTTTTGCACATTTTGTCTTGTAGGTTTGAAAAGTATCCAAGTCATCTCTTATTCTGTGACTTTCCTGCAGACATTCTGTATTAAACAGTGCCATTATTGACACTGATTTTAAATTTGGGTAGAGGACATTTGTAGTTTGCAAAAGGACTCCCTAGGATTATTCTGATGTACCCATATGTATCCCTTAAGTCTTTACCTACTCATGACACTGGTGAAAAGAATGGTGAGTGTATACCAGCCTTTTCTATTTAAAATCAAGGAGAGAATTCCCCATAGATAAAGTGGAATGGGATTTGGAAAGAAGTTTGTTTCATCTTGAGAGATGGCAACTCAGCTGAGAAGAAAGGAGAGGACAAGATGTAGAAATTAGATATGAGATTGCTTTCTACCTAAGATTACTTTATACCTAAACTGTATTTCATTATAAACCTGTCTTTAAGTGCCATTTGCTCCAAACTTCTGTACTTTATGTCTTTAAATTGGCAAGGTAGAAGTGACAGTGCTGGGGAGAGAAGAATTAGTGTTATCTCCCAGTGAATGCTAGATTTCTTTTACCATCTATAAAGGTTTTTGAACATGTTCAGAAGCCAGGTTTATCTTGGGAACTATTTAAGCAGTTAAGTATCTTCTGACTTCTTATTTTAAAACACATATGAGTGAAATTGATATACATAGGCATAATTTTTATTTCTTGGTGTCTATTAATAGAATATGATAGAGCTTTGGTTTTATTTCTAATTTATATTAAGTAGAGTATTTAAGTATTCTAATTGTGAGAGGCCACTGCAGTTTTCAGTTTAGAAACTGATCAAGTAGTTTTTATTTAGTTGTTTTACTCTGCTTCACAAAAATAAGTGAAAGGGCTTTGTACATAAAGGCAATATTATTTCCAAATGTCATGATACTGACTGGGATTTGATCAAAGATAATTAGGAATGTGAAGGTGGATGTGGGTAGAAATATAGGTGAAATAAGATTATGCATTGATAACTGTTGTTGAACCTAATTAGTTGGATACATTTAGTTCATTTTGTTTCTCTTTCACATATGTGTGAAATTTTCCATTTTAAAAAGCCTGTAATATTAACTAGATGTCAGCTTGAAATAAGCAGCATGGCCAGTTAAATTATCTGCCTGCCTTATATTGTTAGTTAAAAATAAAAGACTACTTTTGTCCCTCCTCCTTTCCCTCCTTAAACATTTAAGATTTTAATAGGTGTTGGCAAGCACACTGGTTTTATTCCCTTAATTGTTGTAAATACAGAGAAATATCTGTCACCTTTCACTTTTGTGCCTATGCTGGATATTAAATGATTTTTCAGGAGTAGATGAAATTATGGGGCCAGATAAGTTTGGAGTTTGTCCCTCTGTCAACATTCTTTAATGCTCTCCTAGTGGAAATAATGAATGTTAGCCATCTGTTAGTACCAAGTTATAGATTGTATTTAATTTGTAATAACAATTACATGTTTGCAGTCTTATTTAAGACATGCTTGGTCTTAAATAGGCAGATCCAAACCTAATCTTCAGGAAAGAATAACTGGCAAAAGGGCCAGGTGTTGCTGCCTTTAGATCTTGCTAAACTATTTTATTGTAAAGGTTAATGTTTTAAAATGCTATCAATACATTGGCCATTGTGTATAATTTTTTTGTTTTGGTTTAATGGAGAGTAAAATATTTGCCAACAGCTTTTACTCCACATATTTTTTAGTTCTTTACCATTGGGAGCAGCCTTTTCAAAACTAAAGGTAGAAAATTCAAATGAAAATTTATACACAGTAGTAGAATTTACTATTCAGTGATACTCATCGAATGTTTACTAGGTGCTAGGCATTTTATATATATCCTGCTCAATTTTCAAAATAACATTTCAGAGTTTTTATACTCTAAGGTACTAAAAGATTGGTAATCACCAACCGTATTACATTTTATTATTAGTGATGTATTTACTAAGGCAGAAAAAAATGTTAACACAAAACTTACGTGTTATCATTGTGTTTGTATTAACACAAAACTTTTGTGTTACATTTTTGTGTATATGCATAATCGACTGTCACAACTCAACTGCACAACACAGTTGAAATCCAGTCAGTCAAAACAAGATGATCAGTCAGCATGTGCCACCTTCCTCCAAGATCACCTTTCCAGCTAGTCAGCATTGATCCAGTAAGTGGGAACTATTGTAGGAGTGTGCAGCCGGTCTACGTGAGGGAGTGTTGTAAACAGACTGAACATATAGGAATGTTATCAAGTGATGCTCATCTTAAATTTTTTCTACCACCGTCCTTGGCTGTGATTCCAGATTAAGTCAGGGAGCTGTTCTTAGCTTCTTAATGTATCTTTTATATGAACCTAACAGATTTATAAATTCATCACATGGTTATAGGCTAACATTTTGATATAGTTTTCATTCTGCTGTTTTGTATGTATAGAATTGTAGTTAATTTTAATTGGTGAAGCTATCCTTGGTATCATCGTAGAAAAGCAAATTGCAGTCTTTTATACAGATACTTAGTAGATTAAAAAAAAAGCTTAGAGGGTAAACTGTTGGGAAACAAGATTAGAAACATCTGGTTGATGCTGTGGTTTTTCCACAGTTATGCTGTGGTGATGTGGGAGTCACTGGTAAATGTTATTAATATGTAGTTTAGAAGTCTTAGGCATGGGATATTTAAGTGTGTGTGTGCGCGCACTCATGCATAGGCACACAGTTGTCCACATGGCACAGTGAGTCAGATTTCCTAAAGATGTTTGTTTTCTTTCAAGGTATTTTGATTACAACCATAGCCTCTAAAGGAGAATTGCAGAATTGGCCTGACCTCTTACCAAAACTCTGCAGCCTGTTGGATTCTGAAGATTACAACACCTGTGAGGTAAGGGTATTTGTTTCAAATATAGTTTTTCTTTTCATGTTCTGTGTTAGCAACCTTTGGGAAAAATATTTCCTCTGAAATATACAACTTCAAAAGTTAGAAGCCTAAAGTTACCATTTATGAATTGTTTACCATACTGTTTTCTATAAAGACTATTACATTATGAAACCTCTTCACTATATGTCCTACAAGGAGATGTCTTCTAAAGTTATCCTTGGGTGTATATGTAATAAACAGCTATTGTCAAGCTTAATCAGTTGATGTGATATTTTTTAAAGATAGACTGAAATTTACCAAATTCCCAGACTATGAGTATTTTTATAGCTTCTCTAAATTGTTTTTATGCTGCTTATTATATGACATTATCTAGGGCATATCTGACTTCTCTAGTTTTAATCATACATTAACTCTGATCTCTTGTTTTTTTGCCACTAATCAAATCAGTAGCAACCTTTCCATTTGAGGAGGTGAGAGTCAGTTTGTATGAATTCCTTTTTTTATAATCTCTATTAATGAATACTTTATCTCTTTCATTAGCAGGCTTCCAATTGGGATAGAAATCTGTTTTAAGTGAAAACCATTTTAGATGTTTTTACTCTCTAAAGTAGTGATCCTCTGACTCTCAAAAAAGAGCAGGATTGCAGGCAGGGCAGGCACAGGAATAACCAAACAAAAAGCAATCAGGTGGTCTTATGACCTGGCAGTTTGTTGCCTGACCTGTCTTCAGAAAGGAGAAATAGGCAGAGAAGATGGGGTGAGGGAGTGTTGGCAAAGTTAGTTATTTAAGTCACTTTTCTCCCTCCCTAAGAGAAAAAAATCATTCTTGTACACACAAAAATCCCTTATAAATACACTAAGATTACAGAAAAACTAAATATTTAGTCAGAGTGTAGTTGATTACATTTAAATAGTGGTTGGTGTAATGGCAATAATAACATAAAAGAAACTTGAAATTTTAATCACTTTCCAAGAATAAAAATTGTAAGCGGCAGTTAATTGTGAATTGTGGAACTACTACATAGAAATTGTACTTTAAATAAACAATATTCCCATCTGTCTGAACTAAAGATGTGGGTTTTCCAGATGTTGGTATAGAGTGATTGCTAAATGTTCTTAGTTGAAGTTTTTGGTTTTGGCTTTTAAGGTATTTTTGGCTCATTTTTGGCACAGTAGGTAACAGGTTCACATTTAATTTGATTTTAACAGTTTTTCAAAACTAAAACATTTTTCGAAAAGACATTAATATTCAAATATAACTATTTTAACATGACAATTAAAATCTCTAATATTTAAGCATGTTAAATCTTTTTTTTTTTTTTTTTTTTTAGCTGTTGAGATGTGGCTACATAAGCATGTTAAATCTAAGATTGAAATTTTATATTTTTAACTAAGTTTGAAACTTTAAAATTCTCCAGATTTAGTTTTTTTAAATTAAACTCTATAAGAGTATTGTGTAATTGCCTTTACTTACTGTTGGACACCTTTTTTAAATTAACTGTACTATGGAGAATGAGCACCAAGTTACTATTGATGGAATTATAAGGACTGAAGTGTAGATGGTTGAGGCATTTAGTAGGTAACATATTGTGTACAAAGGCTCTGGATTATCCCTATTAGTATAAAAGTGGTTATGGGGAAATAGTTGCCAGTTTGAATTGTCTGTCCTTCTAAAAGATTTTGTCACTAGTTACCTGATGAGTGGTTTTATATATGTGACTTTTTTAATGGTATAGGTGACCTCTCTATGTACTTCAAAAAGTGTTACAATAGTTAAACAGACGTCTATGTAAATGTAGAGTTTTACATTCAGTTTTAAAAAACTGGTATTTAATCTCTGCCAAAATATCCTCAGTTCTCTAAACATGTATTGCTAAATTTCAAATGTACCATTATATTTGAACAGATTTTAGATACTCCATGATTATAATAGTTTGTTTTAAAATTGAATGATTAGATTTATGGATTTTAGAAGGTAGCATTTTATATAGGCTGAGAACATTAATCCATATATACGATAACATTCCTCAATTTGCTTTTAAATGGCTTCATTTATAATGAATTCTCATAATTTAAATATGTGTCTTTTATAGGGAGCATTTGGTGCCCTTCAGAAGATATGTGAAGATTCTGCTGAGATTTTAGACAGTGATGTTTTAGATCGTCCTCTCAACATCATGATTCCCAAATTTTTGCAGTTTTTCAAACACAGTAGTCCAAAAATAAGGTATTTATATAGTCCATATTGATTTATCAACTCTGACATAGCCTAACCACTACTTTATTTTGTATTACCTAATATTTTTTGTGATTAGCAAAAGATACTAGATGGTTCCACATAAGTGAACTTACATAATTGAAATTTACTGTTGTAATAATGAAACTTGTGAAATACTGACTCTGAAATTTTCATTAAATATGATATAGTGCTCTACCTTCTGCATGGTTAATTATGTTCATAATAGATAACAGTCATCCTTCTTTTAGATTCCTTTGTTTAAGGCCAAGATTAGGTGTAGGTTTCTTGTCATTTTTTATCTTGCCAAGTTCAAATATCTTCATTTGTGGCTGTGTAATAAAAGTTCTTCCAGTATAACATGTACATATATCCTCGTTCATTGAAGGTGAACAAGATTATCATCGGAAGTAATGAACTCTAAATTTTTGAGCTTCTAAACATGTAGTATTCTCTTCCCTTTCTCTCATTTTCAGGCCTAGTGCAGACCTATTCTCTGCTTTTCTTTATTCTGTGATTAATAAGCTGAATTTTAATGAAGATTTATTCTCATTAAATTAATAAATAATTTTAGTTTAAGGGTTTTACATCTATTTATGATAAAAACATTACAAGCATGAAAGTGGCAGGACTTTTTAAAGTATATCCTGTAATCACATAGTAGGCCTAGTAGGCTGGTCATGAAGTTAACCTGGCCTACTTTGTTCACTTCTGTATCCCTAGTTCCTAGAACAGTACCTGGCACACAGTTGTCAAAATATTATATTTAGAATATTAAATTGGCCTTTGATTAAATTTCTTATCAGTTGTCCAACTGAGCTGTAATTATCATGATGTCTTCATTGTATTGTTGAAGTGGGTGAGACTCTAACTTCATTCTCCAAGTTACCATATTCTTTGTGGGGCAGAAGGTCAGTTACTGCATAAAATTTTTTTCTAGTTTGTCCTTGCCTTTTGTTACTGTGGAAGTCATTCCTCTTAAGATTCTTAGTTACTTTGAATTTTTTTTGGCTTCCAATTTTTAGTGCTTAGTGCTTTTATGTAGAATAATCTAACATCATAATATTGTTTTAAGTAAATGGTATGCATTTCCTATAGATGATTTTTCAGAGTTCCAAATGCATGAACTTTTTAGTGCAAAGCCATGACTACTAATTCATATGCCCACTGGAGCTTTCTTTCAGATTGCAAGCTGTGTTCCAAAGGATTATGGTTTCAGCAGTGTGAGTAGGGAGCTAATCAGGAACACATTTCTTGCTAAAATTTTCTATTTATTTTTATTCTTTTTTATCTTTATTTTAGTTACTCTCCATGTTAAGTGGTACTTTGTTGTACTCATAGTAGAAATTTATTTGTGGCAGTGTCATGAACAAAAATAATACATTTTCAAAATATTATTCTTCCAGGCATAATTAGGTTGGAGTTCATGTTCCCCAAGAAGTCTACCCCTTTTAACATTTTAAGTAAGGTGAAGAAAGTGTGATGATTTACGTATTTTTCTTCACTTCCATTTTCATTTTACATTTTTAATGTATATAGCATCTGGGTGTGTGGTGTGAGATAGGGTTACATTCTGTCTTTTCCATTTGGTTAATAGTTTTTTCCTGGTATACTTATTAAATAGTTTCTTCTTTTTCACCATTGATTTCAAATGTCATCTCTGTCATATACAGAGTTCTTTATATGTGTAGGTCTGTTAGTGGGCCCTCTATTTTATTCTATTGCTGTTTTATGACTAGCTTCAAATTAAATTATGATATATTTTTAGGGCAAAAAATTGAGCTTTTGAGGCTCTTAGCAAATTGCAGTTACTTAAAACTTTATAATGGATATTAGAATGAATTGCTACACAGTAATGAAAGAGTTGGACAAACTAAATGAGAGCTCAGAGTATGAGGATAATTTTATAATTTTTAAAGTTGTACTATAGTATATTTTACTTGGAAGAAATTTTGGATGCTGCTGCTCCTGTTTATAAGGTAGGTTTATATTCTGTCCCAGAAGGGAATGAAAATAAGGCCTTCAATTTTACAACATATAAATTTGATGTAACTTTTCAACTTAGAGTTTGATCTTATAAAAATATATATTGAAGAAAGACAAAAAAAATCAGTATTTGGCCTGAAATATGCTGGCATTCCAAGAGCAGAAATTAAAATTGAAAATATACTCTATTTAGCAGAATTTACTCTGAGCTTGCTTAAACACAGAGAAAATTTTTTCAACTTAAAAGTATTATGGTCTATAAAGAAGAGACCATATTGGGAGAAAAAACCCTATCGACAATTATATTGGAGTTGTGTTGAATCAGTAAATCAATTGAGGGGAATTAGTCATTTGTACAATACAAATTGCTTGTTTTTAATAAAGTTTTAGGCCGGGCATGGTGACTCATGCCTGTAATCCTAGCACTCTGGGTTGCTGAGGTGGGAGGATCATTTGAGCTCAGGAGTTCGAGACCAGCCTGAACAAGAGCAAGACCCCATCTCTACTATAAATAGAAATTAATTGGCCAACTAATATATATAGAAAAAATTAGCCGAGCATGGTGGCGCATGCCTGTAGTCCCAGCTACTCGGGAGGCTGAGGCAGCAGGATCGCTTGAGCCCAGGAGTTTGAGGTTGCTGTGAGCTAGGCTGACGCCATGGCACTCACTCTAGCCTGGGCAACAAAGTGAGACTCTGTCTCAAAAAAAAAAAAAAATGAAATTGAATTAAATAGTCCTTTCTATTCCTAAAAGTTCTTTAGAGGTCAGGCTATTGATATTATTGTTGGGAAATTATATGAGGGGTGGAAGGTCATGGGTTTCTTTTCTCTCCTCACTTAAATTGACCAGCTTCTTTCTGAGCTTCTTTTACCAACAGACTAAGGCTTCTTTTACCAATAGCCATAAAGATTCTTTAGCCATTTGCAAATTAACCAAAATGTGTCTTATAGGGTACTTACTGTGAATCAAGCACTGTTCCTGATGCTAGGGGTATATAAATTTTATGTCTGCCAAGTGTTTTCTTTTAATGTAGTGTAGTCTAGAGGTGGTTTAGTGTAGCAGATAATAATAGAGATCTGAAGTAAGACTGCCTGGGTTCAAATCCCCACTCCTCTGTGTCCTTGGACACTTCATTTAACTTATTTGACTGTTTTCTGTTTCATCTGTAAAATGAAGCCAGTAATTGACCCGCCTTGTTGGATTGTTACAGAGCTAGTTGCTACAAATCAATTGGAATAATGTCTGCCACAGAGTAAGCACTTCATGTTAGCTGTTAAATTTAGAAGTAGTAGTATTTCCTGTTAGTATTGTTCTTTCACAGCTTAATAAAGGGGTCAGTAATAGACATGCTAGCATCTTATAAGGAAATATACTTTAGAATAAAAGAAATTAAATTCTCTCTGACAATAAAAATTCCATAGGAATATGCTCAGCAAGTGGGGCAAGAACATTTCCTAACATTTCAAAATATTTTACATTACTGTTAAATACCACATTAACAGTTCTTTACTACTTTGATAATCCTACAAGATTCAGTCATTTCTCCACCTATAAGAGCAGTAAACCTCTGGAGGAAGTGCCTAATACTTAGTAGACCCTCAATAACAATTTGCTAAATGAATAAATGGGTGCATTATTTTCTTTGTTATTAATGGTTTTTTTTTGTTTTTCTTTTTTTTGTTTTTTTTTTGAGACAGAGTCTCACTCTGTTGCCCAGGCTAGAGTGAGTGCCATGGCGTCAGCCTAGCTCACAGCAACCTCAGTGTCCTGGGCTCAAGCAATCCTTCTGCCTCAGCCTCCCTAGTAGCTGGGACTACAGGCATGCGCCACTATGTCAGGCTGATTTTTTCTATATATATTAGTTGGCCAATTAATTTCTTTCTATTTATAGTAGAGACGGGGTCTCGCTCAGGCTGGTTTTGAACTCCTGACCTCGAGCAATCCGCCCGCCTCGGCCTCCCAGAGTGCTAGGATTACAGGCGTGAGCCACTGCGCCCGGCCTGTTATTAATGTTTTCATCAGGCGCTAGTGTCATGTCTGCTGAGACTGACAGAGTATTGATGAAAATATTGGTTACTAATACATGGCTGTAACATATACCTTGGCAAAGCTGGATAGGGTGTTCATTCAGTGACAGTAGTAACAAAACAGTGCAAGGTGATGACATTGGACATCCCCACCCTACCCCCAACTCAGTTGCTATCTCTAGAGTAAATTAATGAACTCTTAATAAAATTTAATGAAAGATACAAATCTAACATAGAAGCTGTGCCTGTTGGGAAAACAGTCGTCTTCTCTAGCTATGTAAAATATCTCCAGATGAAAAAGGAACTACAGAATTTTGAGCATGTCAAACATGGAGGCATGACTTGGGGAAATTAAAGTTGTTAAAATGCTATAGCATTCCTCAGCCTTTGCTTCCAAAAAAAGAAATAAAATACTATAGCTGTACTTCAGACACTCAGATTTAATCATTGAACGTCTCCTTTGTCTTTTTTATAATATTTCAGATTCATTTTTTAGAGACATTGCTGTGATTTCCTGGAAAAAGAAAACGAGACATGTTGGATTTTATTTAATTTTTAAATGCTCATTTTACTACTTTTAGCCCATGTATGCAAATAAAGTAAAACTTGATGAGGGACAGGAGGAAGGCCTCATTGTTTTTTCTTCTCACTTCCCCACTTGCAAGCTCTACAAGAGATGACTTGGTCTTCTAGTAGAAGCTTGTTGCTATAGTGAAATGAGTGTGAACTTAAGATTCCATGAAACTCAGTTTCAGATCATTTCCTGGCTAGCAAGTTACTTAACTTCTATCTTCTCATTTGTCAAATTAAATGACATCATCTTAGAGTTGGGATTAAACAAAACAGTCTGTTGTCATTCAGACATTCTTTTTTACCTTGTAGAGGAACTTATAAGGAACATTGTAAGATTAATTACTACTACTATTATTTTATCAGCAGTTTGGGGAGTTGACTTGGTGAACAGCAGCAGTTTAGGGTTAAATTAGAAAATTGGTGTATATTTTCCAATTATTGATGCTTTTAGAGAATTTGAACCTATTATCACCTTAAGAATCAGGGTTGGTAGAAATAATCTGCTGTCTGACAGTAATTTTGAGGAGTAAATCAAATTGTATTTTAATGATTATTTCTGCTTATGGGTAAGCTAAATGAATCCCCAGTCTTAATGGCATGGTTTCGTTCTTACAGACTAAAAATGATCTCGAAACACAACTGATTCTACTCTGTCAGAATGACGTTTCATCTTATATCAAAATCATAATCTTTGTCAGTTATTCCACATTTAAGTGTCTTATAATCTAATACTATAGGCAAGTTAATTCAGTCATTTTTTGGTACTGTATCATCTTAGGATTTCTTTAATTAAACTTAAAGAATACTCATCACTGGGTATAAACCTTTCTAATATATTGGAATTTTTAGACTAGAAAAATATGTGTTTCTTGTGCAATAGAATCTGTTTGCATTGGCTGGTGATGAAGAACCAGAAGTACGGAAAAATGTGTGCCGGGCACTTGTGATGTTGCTTGAAGTTCGAATGGATCGCCTGCTTCCTCACATGCATAATATAGTTGAGGTAACATGGATAGTTTAAAGGCTGTTTTCCTCATCTTTCCCCCTAGAAAAATGTTGAATACAAAATGTACAATGTGAAACCATGATTTTTAAATTTATACAACATATAAGATGTGGGGGTTATAAAAGAATAATCATGATTGTCTTAAAGTTATAAATTATCTTTATGGGGATGTTTCCTTCATAATATATAAGATGTTATGGGGGAAGTTAATGGAGTAGATAGCTTTTAGTTTAGGAAATATTTTGGTTTTGTGTTTACTAAAATATGGGTTAGACTATATGGCCGTTAAAACTTTGGGAGATTAAGTGGCATATTCTCATGTTATTGAAGTTCAAAATTATTAGAATTTAGAAACTCTAAACTGTAAGAATTTGCATCCTACCCATTACTGGTAAAATTAATTTGATTAACGTGTGATTTGTGCTAATGAGATTTCTTTTTTTTTTTTTTTTTCCTGTTAGACCATGAACAGAATCTAATGAGATTTCTGACATCGCCATTACAGTTAGTTTGGGAAGACTATTTAGATTTTAAAAGATTCTCTTTTAATCCCTATGCAATTAAAATAATTTTACTAGGAAATTCTAAGTGCATTGATCACAGTTTAGCCATATCTAAAGGAAAGGGGAGTACATAATATCAAAATATAATTATTATCAGAACAAAATTACTGTTTATGCAGTACTCAGTACTGCAAGAGTCAAACTATACCATTTATTTTCATATTGCTGGGTATAGTTGTATGTGAAGATTATTACATAGCTTTGGAAGTGTTTAAATAGTATGTTGCTAGAGCCTCCCTTTCACTTCCAAAGTTCCAAGTGGTATGGATAGGGAGAATCTTTTTTTAAAAGATGAGGTCTAAGATCTGTTAAAAGGCTAGCATCCATGGTATGCAGCAACTCTTGTTCTGAAACTTAAAGAGAAATAGTTGTAGAGATAAGAATACTTAGCAGCATAAGATGGGGGTAAATGTTTTGGGGTGTATTTTCTCTTTGAAGAGTCAGGTGGGATTGGTTTAAAGTTTAGTGAGAAGAGTTTGGAGTTAACCAGAAACTTCAGAATTTGTATCAGTTGCTAGGTCACAGCTGGGGAGCCTAATTACTAACGTTACAGTTCTTTCTTAAGCAATACTCAGTAGCACAGGAGTGGGACATGATGTGACATGTAGTAGAGGCTAGCCTATGACAACTGTTATGTTGCCATAGTTTGTCATGTAAAATGTTTCAACCCAGAAGAAGACATGTATAAGAAATTCATCATCTGACCTCAATTCTAGCTCCATGTACATTGAAAAATGACAAGTGAATTTGAATTGCTATGTTCAGAGGACATGAGCAACCTATATTGTTGAAAATTACAAATTAGTCACGATAAGAAATGTCACTACTTTCCAATTTTTAATTTTGATGTGTATGTATCACTTCAAATGTGAAAGTCTACATACATTATAAGAGACAGCTTGAGTAGTTACAAAAAGATTTTTCATTTTAAGAAAAACATAATCGTTATTTTTATGTTCTAAGAAGGCTTAATATTTGATTATTAACATTTACATTTCAGACATCTCAGGTTTCATAAAATGCACCTACACAGAAACAGATACACAGTGCATATACTGAACACTTTTCATTTGACAACATTCTAAATCATTGGTTCTAAAATTTAGCTGCATTTTAGAGTCAGTTTGGAACCCTTTCCCCCCCCCCCTTTTTTATCCAAAAGCCTAGGTTGAAACCATGATAAAGTTCTCAAAGGCGATACAGCAAAAGCCTAATGGTAGGATTGAATTTATATTAATTGTGTGATTTAAAATGATTAATATTAAAGATCCTTTGTTTACAGTACATGCTACAGAGAACTCAAGATCAAGATGAAAATGTGGCTTTAGAAGCCTGTGAATTTTGGCTAACTTTAGCTGAGCAACCAATATGCAAAGATGTACTCGTAAGGCATCTTCCTAAGTAAGTGTTCCTTCTTGTAAATGCTGCCCTTTTCTTTAATTTCTTAATGGTGACTTCTCATTCTTAGAAAATTCATTCTTCCACCAGTCTGTGATGTTCTAAAGAAGTCAGACTTAATTTTACTATTGGTCTAAGTAAAGAGATTTTTCCAAAAGCAATTGCCCTTTTTTTAAAAATTAAGTGAGGATAGATTATTCTAAATCATAGTTAATTCTGAATAATTTATGGCATAGTCTTTTTTTTTTTCCTTAATCCTTGTTCTTTGTAGACTCTATGATGGGATTTTCTTTTTTCTCAGAAATAGTTTCTCAGTAAGCCTATGTTTAACCCAGAGAATGCTATTGAATCAGTTACTTTTAAGAAGCAATGCTTTTCTCTGAAAAAAAAGTAATAACAGGCTCATGGAAGGAAATTAAATTGCAGAAAATTACAAATTTCCTGGATTTTCACCACCCTGAGTAATCACTATTAGTATTTTTAATGTGTCATCTTTTCATATTTTTTTGTGTAGGTACCATATACTAAATATATTCAAGATGTTGGGGAAGAATTAGATTTCATAATATATGACGCACTTAACGTGGCATCACGCTTACAGTTAATGCGTAAAAATTTAATTATACTATTTATGGTTTGCTCTTTTCAGTTGTATGCTGTATGCTTTCCTACATGTCATTAGTCTTTTAGTGACAGTGTACTATTCTATTATTGTGTGCACACCATATGTTAATGTATAAAACTGACTATTACTTATGTTTACACTGTATATATAGAGAGTGTGCTGTTGAATATTTAGGTTGCTTGGCTTTATTTTAAATCATAAATAATCCTGGAGTGACCATCTCTTATTGTCCATAAATGATTGATTGTTTCTGTTAGAATTTCTGGGAGTGGTTTCCATTCTCCCAAAGGTCAAAGTCTATGAGCATTTTAGAGTTTCCTCATAAATGTTCCAAATTCTTCTCTAGGAAATTTATACCAGTCTCTACCCTACTAGTAGTGTCCATTCTGTCACTACTTTTACCAACCAATAATTTTTTAATTTTTGCCGTCTGGATAATCAAAATGCAAAAACTCTGGTGTTAATGTTTTAGTATTAGTGGAGTTAAAATTTTTTCAGATGATTATAGTACTTGGATGTTTTCATTTTTCATATAGTAAGTCAAAAGATTCACTTTATCTTCAAAACAAATTCTACCTATATTTTCATCTAGTCTAGAATTTCTTTGGGGGTAAGGGTGCTGCAAGGTGTAATGCACTGAGTGCATTTTTTTTTTCCTCTGTAGGAAATTCATGTATTCATTTTTCTGTTCTTTTCAATTTATAATGCAACTTTTATGATATGTTTGCTATAGGGTCATAAAATTCTAAAAGTAAACAGGATTTTTTTAATAGATTTTTATAAAAACTGCAAAGATTCTTTTACTGAAAACCTAGGTTATAACATTAGGAGATAATTGTAATTCAATATGCAATTACAACTAGGCACTCTGACTCCATCATTACACTAATATAATCCAAAATTCTTAAAACAAGCAGGAATTCAGTAGCAGGCTAAAAGGTCAGCACCTCCCATTTTGCCGTGCTAGTTAGGTTTGCCATTAGTGCGGACATTAAGCAACTCAAGGCATTCATGATTCGGTTTAATTTGTCTTTCCTACCACTGCTTGGGAGCCAGTTTTATATATAAAACAAGGCTGCCTTTGTTTTTTAGATAATAAATTGAAATGATGGGAGAATATCAACATCAGTCTGATGCTGAGGTTAAAAGCACAGTAAAAGAAATTTTTTCTGGTTCTTTTAACCAGACTACTCTTGCTTATTAGTATGAGTGAAAATGTTTGCTTAAGAATTGAAATTCTGTGTTCTGAGATCTCTCATTAATGTGAGCTTATTTAGAAAGTACCGAAGTAACAAGGATGACAAGTTCTGTTATTTGTTTCTAGGCTATATAATCTGTTCTACTTTTTTTAAGTAGTACTATTTTGATTATTGAACATTTAATGTATTTTATTTTCTGGTGGAGCAGTTCATTTCTCTCCCCTCCCCCCAACTTTTGGCTTTTTCTTGCCTTTATTCTTGTGCATTAATATTTTGAAGGACTGTTGTGTGGATTATCCATGTAAAACAACTCAGTGTCTACCACATATTTAAGTACTCAGTAAACATTTATTATTGTTAATACTTTTTTGTGATGTTGCATTAAAAACTTGTTTTTAATGTCTACATGAGGCTTTAGGAGAAACCATCTTGTTATAAACGTTAGAAATAATGATCTGCCTTGTGTGATTGGGCTTGGTCGGATACATTCTAGATTGCCACATGGGCAGGGTTAGCATCCCTTATCCCACTTTCTGACCTCATTTTCTTACTGGCCCAGCTTTACCAGTCCCTTATCCTGCAAACCTTACTAGGCCCATCTGCCACACCATGCCAAAGCCCTTGACCTCTGTGTTCTCCTAATCTCAGATTCTTTGATTTGTTCTTCATCTGACAGACATCATAACCACACATAAACCATACTGACCATATAAACTTTTATCTACCCTGCATGTGTCTCCCCTACTCTGACTTGAGCTATTTTTCTGATTTGTTTCTTTAACTGGGCTGTTGAATACCATTGGGGAAAATTAGACTGTCCCAGGGAATTCTTCACTATAGAAATCCATGGTCTTTATCTTTATGTGGACCCTTCACACTATGTGCCAGTCCTTGTTCCAGATCAGTTTTTATCTTCCATTTACCAGAACACTCTTTCAGACATTTTTCACTCATCTGAAGTTCTCTCTATTCACTTCGAGCACTTCTGCTTTATAGAGAAAGCAGGTGACTTTTTATTTTGCTCTAAAACTTACAGCTGTATTTTCATGTGAATTGTCCTCTTCCTAACCAGTCTTTCTACTTAGGGTCTGGATCACATAATTTTTTCTTAGCCCCACAGATCTCACCCCATTATATATTCTCTCTCAGCTTTTCCCTGTTGCCTCTTTTTCCATAGTTTTTATGCAGCTATGGAAAACTGCAGTTTCTTCTATCTTAAAAAAAATTCAAAAATAGATGAGGCTAACTATCTTCAATTCTTTAACCCACCATTCATTAATTTTTCGTTATCTTACAATTTGACATCTGTTCTCACCATGTCCCTGAAATTGTTGACAAAGATAGATCATCAGTAATTTAACTGTTAATGATCCAGATAGACCTGGTTCTCCTGCAAAATGCCTATAGTTTACAAAATATGATTATATGTATTATAAGTCTTACCTAGTTATACTGGTGGTTACAATGTTTAACTACTATTAATATTTCTATTTTAGAATTTAGAAGGGCTTCGAGCATGAAAGGTTTGCTAGCCCACATTTCTTAAACCTATCCAGGGAATTTTAAATTTCACTGCTTTCTTTATTAGTGTTTCTTTACCTAATGAGGGCAGACATACATAATCACTAAATATACTCAAAGACAGTATTACTAGTGGTTGTCTCACTAGTTTTATTAGTATACATAAGATTTTTAAGACTTCTTAATTCTTTAGATATTTCTTTCATGAATTTATTTCTTTATAGGTTAATTCCTGTGTTAGTGAATGGCATGAAGTACTCAGATATAGATATTATCCTGCTTAAGGTAAGGAAACTTTTCTGATGAAAAGGAAGATGATTTTTATATTGACTTAGTACATCTTTGAATTTGGCGAAAAAACATTTAGAATAGACCCTATGTATTAGCGTCTATTCTAAATGTAGTAGTTAAACATAGGGGTCTGTTATATGTAATAGGCTATAGAGATTCAAAGATAGAAGTAAACATAATGAATTTGGGTGCTAATAAATTCTTGCAGTTTATTGGAACTAATTGTAACGTTAGTAAGGTTATAAAATTATTCTTAAATATACTGATCTGAATGTCATTTAGGTACATTTAGATTATACCAGCCAGTGGAGGCAATGTAGTTAGCTGAAAGGGCCTGATAACCTCACAGGTGTCATATATTAATCTGTTCTCCCCCATGCAAAGAACTTTTTTCGGCATAGGAGAGTGGTTATTAACCACTCAGGAAGTATACTTCAAACTTGTGTGCATGACTTCATCTCTGGATACTCTGATTTTTTGCTCATATGCATATTATTAGCTTGTAATGTCACCAAAATTTACCTTTTAAAAAAACAACAGGGTGATGTTGAAGAAGATGAAACAATTCCTGATAGTGAACAGGATATAAGGCCACGTTTTCACCGATCAAGGACGGTGGCTCAGCAGCATGATGAAGATGGAATTGAAGAGGAAGATGATGATGATGATGAAATGGATGATGACGATACAATTTCTGACTGGAATCTAAGTAAGTCAGAGAGGGAAAAACACTTGACTATTTTGGTCACAACTTTATTGAGATATAATTCACATACTGTAAAATTCACCCATTAAAGTATATAATTAGTGGTTTCTAGTATATTCATAGAGCTGTCCGACCCTCACCATCTATTTTAGAACATTTTTATCACCCAAAAGAGGACCCTCATACCCATTAGCAGTCACTCCCATTTTCCCCTCAGACCTAGGCAACTACCAGTCTGTATTCTATCTCGATGGATTCTATTCTAGACATTTCACATAAATGGAATCATACAGAATATGGTCCCTTGTGAGTGTATTCTGTCATTTAGCATGTTTTCAAGGTTCATTTATGTTGTAACAGGTATCAATACTTCATTTTTTTATTATGAAATATTTCATTGTATTAATATACCATGTTTTATTTATCTATTTACCAGTTAGTGGACATTTGTGGTGTTTCCCCTTTTTTGTCTTTTGTGAGTAGTGATGTTGTAAATATTAATATGTATGTAAAAGTATTTGCGTGGATACGAGTTTTTAATTCTCTCGGTTATATACTCAGGAGTGGGATTGCTGGGTCATATGGTAACTCTATGTTTAACCTTTTGAGGAACTATCAGGATGTTTTCCAAAGTGGCTGTACCATTTTACTTCCCTACCTAGTAGTATCTGAGGGTTCCAATTTCTCTACATGCTAATGCTTACTGTCTCTCTATTACAATAGTCATTCTAGTGGATGTGAAGTAGTAGTATCTTATTGTGGTTTTGGTTTGCATTTCTATGGGCCTTTTCTTACATTTAGTCATAGTCTTTCAAAAGACTTCTTACCTCAAACTACCATTTCTGAAAAGACTATATATATTTTGATACTATAAAGTAAGAACATTGCCACAAGCTTTTCCTGTTATCCCAAAAGTGTGCTTTAGTGTGATGATTTGCATGAGAATTGGCTGGTTATCATACATAATTCTAAAATAGTATAATTGCTTTGTCATATTTGAAACTTTAAAAATGTATGCTTTTTGAAAATATGCTAATTTTCGACCTTAGCTGCAAATCTACATCATCAGTGGAGGTGGCAGTCTGGCCCACACTCTTAATTGTAGAGAAACCTATGCACCTGTGTTTTGATTTTTGCTTGTTGGTTTTTAAATCACCACTGCTCTAGTTTAGAGTTTCTCAACCTTGGCACTATTGGCATCTGGGGACACATGATTCTTTGTCGTGGGGACTGTCCTGCTCATTGTAGGATGCTAAATAGCATCCCTAACCTCTACTCAAAGATGCCAACAGCAAGGACAAAATTATAACAACCAGCATCATCTTTAGACATTGCCAAATGTCCTCTGAAGAAAAAATCACCCCTAGGTTAGAACCACTACTCTGGTTCAAAGCGTTGAGATTTTTTTTTTTTTTTTTTTTGATATCCGCTACTCTCACTCTCTGACAAAAGGCAACGACAGAACGACAACGACCCTACGCTGCGAACACAGACAATCCCCTCCCCATAAATTACCGTGCGCGTGGAAACGATACGCGCGTGCTGCAGAACGCCCGCTAGAAACAGGGATCCACCACCTTTCAACCTCTCACAAAATAACCAAACTCACCGCTGGATAGGCGGAGCAGGACCTTAAGCAACCCTTAAGCTCAGTGAACCCACTATTAGGATACTCTAAGAGGAACAAACGTTGGAGTTGCTAGACATCGGGCCTGGCAAGCAGTTTATAAGAAGTCCCAAACGGTAATCACCAGCAACAACAAAACATAAATAATGGCCACTGCATCAAAACTACGCAAAGTTCTGCAACGCCAAAGAAACTAGTCAGGAAACCGTAAATCAGACAGCACTACCAATGGAGAAACCACTTATTCGCACTCTATGCGATCCGAAAGGATGTAACTCGAGAATCATACTTAGACCTTCACAAAAATCAGCAAGAAAGGAAAACTCATCACTAACCCCATTAAACAATGGCGCACAGAGTTGAAGCGAGAAATTGTTGATCCTAAAAAGAAGACAGAGAACTGGCCAACAAAACATATCGAAGAAACTGCTCACATCTCTAGACCATCAGGGAATGCAAATCAAAACCACAATGAATACCGGTGCACCTTAACCCCATGTGACGACGGCCTTTATCAAACAAATCTCCAAACACAATAAATCCTGGCGTGGTTCGGAGAGAGATGGAACACTCCTGACACTCTGCCCTGGTTGGACACTGCAAACTTAGTTCAACTCTGTGAAAGCAATATATGAGAGTACTTAAAGCGATAGCATAGTGAAATTCCTACCATTTGACCAGTCATCATCCCATTCTGCTGGGCATCTACTCCAAATGATACCAATGACACTCTACAAAAAAAGAACCTGTAACGAGAACTGTTTACCAGCAGCACAATTCATACAATTGCACCGGCTGTAGAAACAGCCCAATGGCCGCATAATCCATGAGAACGTTAATAACAAGGGTATCTATGTATACGCCCATCGGAGTACTTTCCAGCCTCAAGCACGACAAGGTGATATAGCCACATCTTTATTTCCCATGGTTAGAGCTGGAACCCATACTACTAAAGTGGAGTAACTCCTCATAGAATTGAAAAAAGGCCCGAGATTATTCTCCAGCGAAACTGGTAATTAACGAGGTAGCACCTAGCTGGACACATCTAGGTATCTACAGTAATACGGGTCGGGGCAGCGGGAGGGGAGGGGGGTGGGATACTAGCATCACATAGCATCATGAATGTGCACCATCTGGATGGTCATACGATGAGACTCAACTTTCTGGCGGAGGGGAAATGGCATTTATGAGAACTCTTAAAATCCCTTACCCCCATTACAGTATGCTCGCCGAAATAAAAAAAAAAAAAAAAAAGAACAAACTCAATAGTCATGCTTAAAAAAATGCCAGATCATCAATACTATAAGTTATAACAAGCTGCCTAGTAATTAAAGACAACTCTGGTATTCGGGGCCAAAAATGACCGGAATGACTTGGAACAGCTGGAAAGATGATTACGATCCTGATTGAAAGACCCATCCTCATATACGCCATCTAATCTTGACACACAGCCCAGACAGAAAACATCAGCGCTGGGGAAAATACGGAAATCCCTTTTCAATAAAGTGGTGGCTGCGGACAAACTCGATTCGCCTACTGTGTACCGAGACGGCTGAGCAGGACCGCACCAGCCTTTCGACCTCTCACAAAGATCAACTCCATGCTTAAACAGACTTAAACCTAAGGTGAGTGAAACTATTTAGATTTTCAGAGGAAAATGGTGAAACCACTCTCCTTAGACAGTGAGCCTAGCAACAAGTTTCATGATATCCGAAGTTCCCAAAGGCAATCACAGCAGCAATCCAAAAAAAAATATTAATGGTTCAATATAGAAACTGAAACTTCTTCACAGCCACAAGAACATAGGTCATGAACAGTCAAAGAACAAACCCTAACAACCTACAGAATGGAGAAAATTCTTTGCGTCCTAACCACATCCAGCAGTAAGGGGCTGATCTAATAGAAATACTATTAAGAACTCACAAAATCATCAAGAAAAAAATCAAATAACTTATTAAGGGGTATTGTGGGCAAAGTACTGTAGAACAGCAAACTTTTTCTAAAGAAGACATGCAAGAATGGCCACAAACCATTATGAAGAGAAATGCCAATATCTCCCTAATCCTCAGCGGACAATGCAAATCAAAACCACATGAGATACTCCACTGTAAGCGCCAGTGAAATGGCCTTTATCAAAAAGTCCCCAAACAATAAATCTGGCGTGGATCAGGGAGAGAGGAACACTGCACTACACGTGCTGGTGTGACTGCAAACTATTCAACCTCTGTGTAAACAAGAAGAGATACATTAAAGCGATTACAGGTGATCTTACCCACTTTGTCCAGCCAATCCATAGTGGGCACTACGCCAAATGATTCCAAGTGACAACTCTACAAAAAGACACTGCACGCCTGAATATTTATAGCAGCACAATTCATAATAGCAAGGCTGTGGAAACAGCCCAGTGCTCATCAATTCAAGATTAAGCTTAAATAAAATGTGGTGATATATATATGCATTGGTACTACTTCAGCAGCCCTAAGAACACAACCTCGTGATCATAGTCACCATCCTTATAATTTCCTGGTTAGAGCTGAACCACCTACTACTAGTGAAGGCTTTTCCCAGAATGGAGAAACAAGCATCACAAAATACTCACCAGCAACTGCGTATTCAAGAGTATCCATCTAAGTGCACACTATAACCTACAGTAAATAGTATTGGGCGGGGGGGTGGCGGGGGAGGGGAGGGGGCGGGATATACATCAGCCCTACATGGTGAGATGTGCACCATCTGGGGATGGTCACACCAGGACTCAGCTGTGGGGGAGGAGGGACGGCATTTTTTGAAACCCTTAAATTTGTACCCCATAAATATCCCGGTGGAAAAAACGTGGGAATCAAAATTCGCCCCAATCAGGTCCACATCAAGACATGTGGCCGAAACAGGCAGCACACGTGGGTGCTCTTCCCCAGAACGGCTGTGTTGGTCACTCTGAGAGTTCTTTTCTTATTGTATGTTCGCTTCTGGGGGCGCGGAGTGTTGGGGAGCAAGTAGACAAGCGGGACGTAGCCGGAGCTTAGGCTCAGGTTCAGCTGGGAATGGCGATTCGTCAAAGCATCCAGATTTCTGCATGTAAAGAAGGAGAGCCGTAGGGTGCCCCGTGGAGTGTGCTGCATGTTCAGGGTGCTGCACCGGCAGCTCGGAGTCTATTGGTTCACTCTGTAATAACAGTCCCTAATCCAAACCCCCACTCGTGAGCCGCAGCACATGCTATCCCCTTCTTGCCAGAACGACCTCTTCCCTTCCTGTCAGAGGCTAGAGGGTGATTCCATGGCAGTAGTCCATGCGCGCTCATTGCTGAAGACCACATGAGCATACATTAGGATGCGAGAGCAAAGTGTGTTTTGGTATCAGGCTTTCCCCAATCTGAAGGTTTAGAGGAGAAGCTCGGAGGAACTTTTAGCCTGGCCTTCAACTTGGTCGCTTTCAACAAGTGCGAACACATTGCAGCGAAAAGCAAAAAGTCCTCAAAACGCTACAATACTTTTCAGCAACGCGAGGGGCGATCAAGGCTTGGAGACCAGGCCGCCCCATTGGGACGGAGGATGTGAGTGCCAAGAGAACTGGCAACTGCAGGCACATTGTGTGCTCACCCCTAGCAGGCTCTGGACCAGCACACAGGGCCGTGCTCTGGCTAACCGTATGCATGTTTTCTGGCATACAGTCACAGAATCCAAGAATGATGTTCCCGTCAATAAATGCCGCTGCTTCAGGCATCTAAAACTGTCTATCAGATCTGCACTCCACATACATAACCTCTCGTGTCGCATGTTACACACGGACCTGCCACCACTCTTTCGCAGCAGAACACATATCCAATCGGAGCGGGGCCGCATGGCATGCTTGCTTGCAGGCCGTTCACTCGATTTCAGAGATAGCTGCCGTGAATCTAGGCAGGCAAGCTCTTCCAGGATGCGCTCTGCCACGGGTCTGAGAAGCGAAGTGCAGGAGGGTAGCTGAGTGACCCAAAAACACATTCTGAACAGCCCCTGCTGAGAAACTTGCTGAAACGTTGCGCAGCA